CCAGACCCTGCTATCTGGACAGACTATTAAGGTAAAGCCCTGAAAGAGTGAACCATATGGACATAACAAGCAGCGCTTTGTGGAGGAAAAAGGCCAGTTCTCTTCTCCCACTAACAGTGAGAGAGAGAGAGAGGCCACTCAGACAAACATATCATTTGGAGAGGTGAGTTTGTTTTTCATAAACTAAAAACTGTGTTAGCAGTTAAGCACAGTTTTCATATCAATCTTTATATTCCAAAAGGTACATATCTCATCGGTTCATGTTGTTTCTTTCTCAGAACACATCTTCATTGTTTTCACTTTAGTTAGTGAAATTTTAAAATGTATTTGTCTCAAACATTAGGAACTAATGAAAGAGTCAAATGAAGCCAAAGGCTTATTCTGGTTCCACTCCTCATGTAAAATGTGTTGATAAACTGATGATTGCCAACACATTTTAGATAAAACTATTTGCACACAATTTACATATCTTCATATTAACAGAATGCTTCTTAAACAAAACATATTTTAATCTCCTTTTTTATAGTTCTCAATTAACACTTTGTCAAGGTTCATTTATGAAGCATACTTAAAATACAACACTGCCCAAAGTGTTGTACAAATTTAAAATGACTAAAAAACAGTTGTTAAAATGCAATAAATACAACGGTGTTATAAAACAAGAAAACAGGAGGTAAAAACAACAGTGCTAAGCTTGTGTCAAACGCCAGTGCAAAAAAGGTCAGTTGTTAATAGAGACTTAAAAGTTTCAGTGTTTGAGGTAGATCAAATGGTCAGTGGGAGGCTATTCCATAGTTTGAGACCAGCATTTGCAAATGCTCTGTCTCTCATGGTTTTAAGTCAGGAGTGGGAACTTTTGAAAAAAAGCAACTGGTCACATGACCTCAGGGCTCTAACAAGAGAATACACTGACAGCAGTTCAGACAAATGACAAATGACTTCAGACAAATGACTCTCCAACTGGTCTAAAGGCAAATAAGACAGTGAAAAAACAAAAGTAAAGTGAAGACTTTAGCCATAAGTCTAAGCTGAAAAAAGATTGTTTTTACCACTGTGCTTATTTGCTTATCTGATTTAAAAGAGCTGTCAGTTGTGACTCCAAGATTTTTTTTACATAGGGATATCTATTGGAAGATAGAAGGCCAAGAGAGTGGTTTATATCACTTTAATTTAAATTAAGAACATTTTATTTCACCCAGTCTTTAACTTCTTGAAGGCAACGCTGGAGTGACTGACACACATTGCTATCAGGTTTAAGAAGCATATAAATTTGTATATGATCTGCAAGACAATTAAAAGGAATTTTGTGTTTTCTGAAAATAAACCCTAGGGGCAGAATAGACAAAACAAAATTGGTCCTAAGATTGAGCCATGTGGGACCCCAGAGGCTTTAGCAAATGAGAAAGTGCCAATACTCACTGAGAAATGTCTTCCTGAGAGGTAAGATTTAAACACATTTAAAGCTGCTCCTTTGATCCCAACTCAAGATTCCAGGCGTGCCAGTAAAATCTCATGGTTAACTGTGTCAAAGGCCACAGTGAGATCTAAAAGCACTAAAACTGACCAGAGTCCACTGTTAAAAATATATCTGTTTCTGTGCTGTGGTATACTATTTAAAACCAGACTTTTATCATTTTTTTAAAATAAAATTTAAATTAAAATTACCACCTTGTTTAATCTCACCACTGAGTCCATTCCTTAAAGCAGGGATCTCCAACTTTTTTCCTCGGGTAAGCTACCTATAAAAACTGAAAATTCTAGAGAGCTACTAATTTTACTGACTGCAGGAACTAAAATATACATAAGAGCCAAGGCAAGACTTAGATAGGGTACATTTAGATAAAACATAAAACTGGATTTATTTATGAATGCACAAAGTCAGGTATCACAATGATAGATTTACAATAATAATAGACATTTAATTCATAAAATTTGACTCAATAGGACAATACGTGTGATTTAGAAATCCCTTGGCAAGCTACTTGGACAGAGGTGGAGAGCTACTGGTAGCTCATGAGCTACAGGTTGGAGACACCTGCCATAGCTACTCCATAAACAGTTATGCCTCTGATTTTAAAAGGTGGTCCATGCATACGGGTGCTGTAGCCAAAATTTGCTCCTCAAATTGTAGACAGACTGTTATGTGGCGAGGAGGGACCCAAAAAATGGACTGGAGACCGGTTCACAAAAAATGAAAAAGGATAATTTATTTACTACAGGTAGAATGTGAGCAGGAGCAGGGCTTGGAGCAGGGCAGGAGCTGGGCTGGAGACGGCAGGGAACACCAGATAAGAAGCAGGTAAGTAAAACGTCGAGGCAAAAAGGTAAAAAGCAAAAAACTCAGAATGAGGAGCCAAGAGGTTCACCGTGTGTTGGTAGCAAACAATCTGGCAGAGTCTCGCAGGTGAGCAGGTCTCAAGTAGTTGGCTCTTGATTCCTTGCAGGTGAGGCGAATCAGAGGACCAGAAGACTCTGCCCACACAAACACACACACACACAGGGGAGGGAGGACCAGCCATGACACAGTCTCTTCTTTTAAAAAATGTTTGTATATTGTATGTCATTGCATTATTTTTCACTATACACACAAGTTGACTGATTTTAAGTTTAACAATATCTTTAAGCTTTAAACATTGTGATTTCTTAAATAAAGCATTTGTATTATCTCAATTTCCTGACTGATATATAATCTGTATGTCTCTTTTTTGTAAGATATATAATCTTTGCATAAGGATCTTGTGGATATTCCCTCACAATTCGGTATAGTAATTGAAATATGGTTCCACAAGAGCACAGTACAGAGTATGTCATGTTTTAGGAATTAATATAAGCATCTATATAGTACACCAATGCTTCTGGCCATTTTACCACACAGATGATTTGCATGTGCCTTCTAACGCAATTTGTGGTCTAGAATCACTCACAAAAAATAGTCGAAATGTCAATTTTTTGCCAAACCAGTTGATTTTAATTGGATTGCAGTTAGCTCACTTACCTTATGCATTCTGTGCATTCGAAGTATTCACTGCAAAAAGTTCAAAAGTGCTTTTCACAACATTCAGAGACCAGAGCAGAGTTACTGGGGGAAGGTACAGGAGAACATAGGACCAATCCAGTTGATAATTCTATAGAAATTTGTTAGCTGGCTCTGGCTCTGTGTACATTAGCAGGGGGACTAGGTTCTGCTGACTAATAAGTGCTGGGGGGACTTTAACTTTTTTACCATCCTCCTCAGTGGTTCTCTGTACAAAAAGATAACTCCTTTAGAATACCTGTTGGATCAAATCTTGTATGTGTCTGTCCATCTACTGCTTGCTTCTGTACCAAGAAACCACTCTTCACATCATTATTTTAACCTCGATATGTATCTGAATGCTTTATCTAACAATGATGATTGTCGCAACAATATCCGAAAGTGTATTTCAGCATTCAGCACACTAGATCACCAATGCGTTCGTGTGTGGATTTGAAAACATTTCAGCTTGGTCAAGTAAGGACACTAAGGCTGTGTCCCAATTCGAGGGCTGCAGCCTCCGAAGGCTGCGAAGGCTGGGTCCTTCGTCGGCCGCGAAGGCTGCAGCCCTTGAACTGGCCTCCGCGGACCTCCAGGCCGTTGCGGAAATGGGACAGGTCTAGACCATGGATCTATTAAAATAACTGGATACAGTATTGCTAGCTTGTAGCTGCCTCGAGTTGACGTAGTGGCCACTCAGTGGTACTACAGTCGAAAAAATCCCATGGGCCGAGAGAAGATTTTTCTCATAGAGCGCAATGTAATCACAACCTGCTCGTGTTCGGCTGACACGGCACCTACAACTTTCAAAAATGTCGGATTTTGTGGCGATTTTTACCTATTTTTAGATCATAAACTTTTTCTCGCTCAAAATCCTTCAGTTGTCTTAAAAAAACGCTTTATATTCGTTAGCTCCGGCTCCGCTCTCGTTCCTCTCGCTCTGATTGGTCAAAGCGATCACGTGATACACGAGCTCGCGCTCCGTGCGTGTGGTCGCGTGCATTCGCGTGTGCCCGTGGGAGAAAAGAGCACTACTGCGCATGCTCGGTCGGCCCACAGCCACCGGAAGTACCTAGCTGGGCTAGGCTAGTCTGGGATCATGCGCCATTGAGCTCAGCCCATTGACTTGAATGGGCGGCCATTTTGGAACCTGGGGGCTTGGTCTAGACCTAGGAGCCGCTCCCCTGTCGCCTAGCAACCGAGGGACGCTGCTAGCGCTAATGCTAATGCTAACACGCTCCGCGCAGATTACGCACACGGATCAGTAAAAAGAATACGCCTAGGTCATCAAACTGTCGGATTTTGTGACCAAATTAGTTAATAATTCGCATCCAAATCTTATGGCCAAAACCGAAAATGTATGTTTAACTTTTGCAAAACAAAATGGCTATATTTAAGGGATACATTTTAAATAGACTAAATTATCTTAAAATAAAAAAAAAACTGTGATGAGATATGCATTACTAAATATTATCATTATTAAGGATTTTTATATTGACCAGGGATTACATTTATACAGTCAGTTTCTAAAGAAAGAAAGACATCTCTCCTGAGAAAAGATGATTTATTAAACAATCCAAGGAACTTCTGGAAATACTTTATCATAATATGAAGTCAAATATTAAACCCATTACACACACTCTGCATTAACAAGTTAGTACAAACAGCTGTATGTCAGTAAATCTCATTGTGTTCCCTTTTTGCTGAAGCAAGTGACAATCAAAAATTAACAAATTATCTTTGCCAGATATGATCATGTGGAATACCACAGCTTATCTGCAGTACAATAGTACATTCTTATAGTACATGTAATTAGTTACTATCAAAAGAGACACCAAATAAATGGCACATTTCACCATAAATCAAATGTCAGTACAGGCTGAAAAACATTCAGAAACACTTATGAGCAGATGTTTTAATTTCTGTCTCACACACTTGTTCAGATCATATGAGACTCTGGACCTCCTCCTCAGAGACTCAAGACATTGGAGACATGGACAGTGGAGACATGGACATTGGAGACATGGACATTGGAGACATGGACAGTGGACTTGGACCACTCAGTCTGATGTATCTCTCGTCTTCTGGAGGAGGAAGAGCAGAATGGTTGTTGCGTCTGATTGATTCAAAGTTCTGTCCTGCAGAGTGAAAACCTGTAATGACACACACATTAAGAACACTACAAAACTATTAGAGGAAAATAAGTTTCACAGAGCATGCAGCCCCAAAGAACACCTGGACTCCCTCCGCACTATTTACATTTATTATTATTTATTTAAACGCAAGGGAGTGAGAAAACAATTTTGATTCTTTATATGCTTTTTGTATGAAGAATTGACAATAAACTATTTTAACGTTGAACTTAAACTTTGATGTACATTCAGATTCAAAGGCAGTTTATATCTGAAACAGCTAAATGAATAGAGGAATCCCACACATTTGAAAAATACATATTTTCACAATTTAAATCATAATTTCAACATGAGCATGATTCATTTGCAGCTCTTATTATTAGTAGAGTTTTCAATGTAACATGCCCCATACCTAATCGTTGGCAGGAGTCTGGGTCAGCACCTCCAGCTCAGTGTTGGCTTTACTTTGTCATCTGCATTTGACCCATTTTATGAATCACAAGCATCTTGTCGGCCAACAGTTCTGTGGCCCCTGCAGTGTGCCGTGTCCTCATACAGGAGGCTGCAGATGAGAAAAGAAAATTCATGTAAAACAGATTTCTCATTGTTATAACATTAGATGTGACAGACCTAACAGACACAGTCAGGTCGAATCTACACCAGTGTCTGCACAAATCTGTTAAACGAGCCTCATGTCCATCATAAATCTGACCTGTCCAGGCAGGATTATTTACTCTTCACTTTACAAACATGCACGGATTGTTAAAAGTAGATAATGTATTCCCTGAATGAAATGCACACGTTGGAGGCTGATATTATGTGATTTACAAGTAAATATGAGCTTTGATAGAGTCAGACTGAGTCTTTTTTCAGTTGAATGTATGAAATAATGTGTGTTTTCATCTTACCTCCGAGCTACACTGACCAACTGTTTACATGTTTACACTGTCCGTGAAAACGTGGAGTTTTCTCCTCGTAGCTTCTTTAAATCACTCTGTGGGCTTCTTTTCCCCTAACAGTAAAAACATGATGAGTGTTTGATGGAAATGTGTCCAAATATGAAAGTTTGAGCGGACTTTTAATCGCATTAGCTGCACATTACTAGGCAACCTTTAGCTCAAAACTCCGCGGTTCACGCAGTTAAAAACAAACTTATTTGACAGTTTTGTGGGAGTTATGGTCGTATTTTACGTTTACAGTTGTGTTAGTAATGATTTCCTAAAGTTAAAAGTGTTACTCACATGTTTTTCTCCGCTCTCGGGACCGGCTTTTTGCTCCGTGTTTTCGAACATCTGACATCATGAGCTAACCAGTGTGGGTCCTTGGGCAAGACCCTTCGTGCTCCTGCCCACCTCATACAATGATGAGAGAGAAAGAAACGTATGACATGCCGGCTCAGACGTCGCCCGGCCAAACAAGGTCTGCATCAGGTGCTGGGGAACAACACTGTAAACAAAATCTTGTCAAATTTACGGTGAAAAACTGGCAGCTGTGGTTGCCATTTTTTCACCGTAAAAAATACAGGGACATTGTATATGGCTTCACGGTAAGGTATATTTATAACTGTAAAAATAACAGTTAAAAAAATTTCCTTTAAAGATGAATTACTGTTAAAATAACTGTAACATCGTATATGGCTTGATGGTATAACTGTTGAATTCACAGTTTAAAACTGTTGCTTTTACAGTGAATTACTATCTATCTCACATAATGTCTTACCCTATTTTATGGTTATTTCCTGTTA